ATATATATATATATATATATATATATATATATATATTAATAAGGCATAGCGATACAACCAAAACCTGGTGGTATCTGGAATTGTACATCAGGTCTACAGTAAGAGGTACTATATGCCATTGACACCTGCAGAATGCCGCCACCCTACTCTCAACTGAGTGGTATGATACATAGCTCAAGAGGACAGGCCTCCATGGTCCACCACTCCAGTGGCTAGGAACTGATAAGTGGCAAGGACACTCTTACTCCACTAGAAGAAAGGAGGGAAAAGCTTGGAGAGTTTGGAGGAATACACCACTGGATACAGTGCAACGGGTGACCAAAATACCCTATCTTTGAAAGCAGAGCTACCACTATGACAGAGTCAATCAACCAATACCTGGCAGCATCTGGAATTGTATATCAGGACTGCATTAGTAAGAGTATTAATGCCACAGAGCATCAAAAATGGGTAACAATCTTTGTTTGTTTTACTCGTGTGTGTCCAAGAGTATATGATCTGGGACAAACATACTTATGAAGCAAAAGACCACTAGAGAGAACTATTAGCAGTCTTACAGAACACCCCATTGCTACAGTGGGCATAACCTAATCCTGTGATGTAACTGTTTCAGCACAGAAGACAACTGAACAGAGACATACAACCAACACCTAGCAGCATCTGGAATTGTACATCGGGTCTGCAGCAGGAAGAGCTACAACATTAATTAACATCGAGAATGGTTACTGGATGGAGAGTGCGAATTAAAAAAAAAAAGTATACCTTGTCAGGTACCACTCACCACAGAGTGGGAACCACAATACACTAGCAAAAAGGCCCCTGTAAGTAAAAAAATAAAAACATATTACTCACCAGTCATAACGACATCACAGTGTGTAAGATGGCGACTGGAGGTAAACAAAAACCCACTGGGCAAGAAATGGCCACATGATGTAAATAATGTGAAACAAAGGTATGAAGTGTGGTACACATACCAGCCTCAACGATGACCTCCAAAAGAAAATGGAAAGTCAGGGACATAGTGAAGTGATGGATTTTATGAGAAGATACCCTAAAAAGGCAACATCTCCAGGCAAAAGAAAAGAATAAACATGCCTAATTAACTGGTGAATCAATCTCGTAAGGGTAATGGGAGAGAGGTTCCAGGATATGGAAGGATTCCATGTAATAAACAAATGATTACAGGAACCATGGATGAGAGCAGTGCTAGTGAGATAAGATCAAAGGGCCTGGATCAGACAAAAGTAGCTGTCAGGATCATAATGGTCATAAATGTGAGAATTGGGAGAAAAAGTGGAATTACCCTCTATAGCAGCAGAAGTCTTGGGCAAAAATGAAAAGTCAGGGAAGAACATAGGAACTGTGGAACAGCACACGAGCATCAATTGCAAAAATTTCAGATTGCTGCCAATTATATGAAGAATGGGGATTTTAAGGAAAGGTGATATAGAGAACACAAAGACAAAGGTTCCAATGGAGGAAGGGTGATAGCATGAAGGACAACACTGAGATTCCAATCTGGGAGAAACACTGGGCAGGGAGAACAGAAAAGAGAAAACAAAAAAAATAACAAAGACAATACTGGAGGTTGGATGACAGAGGCAAACTCAGTAAATCTGAACATGCATGATAATGCAGTTCAATAGCAGGCAATCAAGGAAACAGAGAGTCTCCTATCAAAGATCCAAGTGAAAATGCAGTCAACTGAGGTAGGGAATGTTGTGAAGGATAATATCCCCAGCAGAATGACCAGCAGCAGAAAGAATACCATTTACACTAATAAACTGCCAAGGAGGAAGAATGGGCAATCAATGAGGCAACACACCTTGAAAATCTGGATTGTCTGGCAAGGGACTGGACAAAAGCCACATGTGAAGCTGGAGAATGAGAATGGATGGATGATACATGCCTGATTGAGATTGAGTTGACAAAGGAGCATGGAAGAAAATTGCAAAGGAAGGGAGGTGACACTGAAAGCCTGCCAGAAGTAGAAACCACACATGAGCAGGACAAAACAGAGCCACTAAGAGCACATGACATGGAGTGGTCTGAATCAGTGAAAGGACCCTGGAAAGAAGATAAATAGGAGGCTATGTATACAGGTAATACCCTTTCCAGTTTTGACTGATATAATCTACAGCTTCTGCCAAAGGATAAGGATTGGGAGACCATAAGTGAGGAAATAGTGTGTTGAAATATGTGGCAAAAAGCATCCACATTTGGAATACCCCTATGAGCACACAACTCCCAAAACTCCTGCAGACCTAATGACCACTCTGTCAGGAGAATCTAGTGGGGCTGAGATAATTGGTCTATGACCAGCTTCAGGGCACCCAGAATATGACATACTAACAATTTGATGTGATGATTGTGGGCCCAGGAGAACAGATTTAACATTCAGAAATAAAGATTTTGTGACCGGATACTCCCTTGCCTTGTGATATAAGACACTATTGTGGATTTGTTGGAGTGGACTATCACTAAATGCCCCCAAACATTCAAAAAGAAATGAAGCAG